ACACACTACCCCTCTGATGTCTTATTAAATAAGAGATGTAACGATGCTCTCCATATTGTCTCATTTAGTTTCGCACATTTTTCTTTTTAATGCTCAGTTGACCATTTGTGGCCCCTTCTGGTTGATGTCTTTTGACAACACCAAAATAGTTTATGAGAGCTTCATTTTCTGGTGCAAAAAGAAATACCAGGTCCAAAGTGTATATTTCTACCTGGAATTTCTACCAAGGACCCTGCTTGTTTTAGGTGAGGACTAGTTCTTGGAGACTACAATCTGGATTTTAGGGGCGCTCATTGACCCTAAATTATCATTGATTCTACACCTTTTTAGTGGCCAAATTAACACATTTTTAAAGTAAGCAAGTGTTTCTAGATTAGAAGCAAAACCTTCTTGACTGTATGAAGCAGGCTGGGGGTTAAGTGAATGGCATTTTATAAAAGCTTTCTAAATACTGTCTGGCATTGTTTTCTCCCTTTAATAACAAAAGTCATTTTCCACTTACATAGTATAATCTTTGTTGAGATGTTCTTGTATAAGATCTTTCTTCTAGCCATTTTCTGTGTAATGATTACCGTAGCTCACTGCTAGTTGAAATAATTGCTTTTATATTTTGACTTTCATGAAGTTTCAAGGGGATCTTCCAATATGCTATTCTCATTTGAATGAATGTGCATATATAGTAATGTGCTTTCTCTGAACTGACACAGTTAATTATAGTCCAGACTACATTATAAATTGTAAGTGAGGAGGGAAGATATGATTCAGTTCTATAAAAATAGTGATTCAGTACTCATAATATTAACCTTCATTGGTGACCTGCCATCCTTTTAGTCATTGCGGGGGGGGGGAAAAAACAGAGTGATTAGTTGTGGTCCTTGCCATCAGAAAGCTTATCCATAACTAGAACAGATTAGGTGAGATAAATACTGATTCTTTACCAGACTAAGGATATTAATGTTAGTGGGATTTGAAACTTAATGATTGGCTTAATTTATAGAGCACTTCTCTGAATAGTGAACAATAACCTATCAAAAGTCAGTATCCTAGAGGATAGTCAGGTTGAAATGATAAGTGTGAATTATAGTTCCCTTAAAGGATATTGAGGAAGTCAGGGATTTCCCTCAATGTCCCAATGTATTCCTAACTTTAAGAAGCTGTCATCTTACAGACTGACATTTCTGGTGTTGGGAACATACTACTGGGATGAATTGATAAGTGTTCTGCCCCAAGAATATTTTTTAAAATGTTCTCTTGGTTCTCAAGAATAAATCATCATTGCATCACAGATGGTTCCAATAAACTTCACTAAATGAAAGGAAAAAGAGAACTAATTATACTCAGAAGTTGGGGTGGAAACTTTTTATAGATGATCTCAGTTTGGAAACTGAATTCAGAAATGAGAGATGTTGGCTAGAGATCAGACAGCTTTTGTCTAAGCCAGAGTTTGACTCTCATTAGGACATTCAGTCAGAGTTTAAGGTTCATTAAATTCATTGTATACCTACTTTGTATAAAAAATTTTGCTAGGAACTCTTTGGAGATGCGGTATGCAGGAAGAACATAACAATAAATGAGACATAGACACCAAATGGGGAAGCGGAGGCAGGGTGGGTGAGTAATGGAGTAAGAAAAACATATCACCAGCAATGAGGTGAAGGAAACCGATTTATAACAACTTACTGAAATGTGACCTAATACAGGATGATAAAAGTGTTAAAGTGAAATTACAGATAAGCTATTGTGGGAATGTGAAGGGGAGAGAGGACAATCCTGAATGGTGGGCGCTTACAAAAAACTTCCAAAAGGTGTCTGAATTCAATCTTGAAAGATGAGCATCTTAGTGGGGAAACTAGAAAGGGCATTCCACTCAAGGGAGTGGCATACTCCAGGGAAATGGGGAAAGTAAAGGGAAGTGAAGTGAGAAGCCAG